CAAATATTCTTAATTTGACTACATTTTTGTCTGTGGTGAAATTCACACTTAGATACGTTTTCATGTGTTTTGCTGTTGGCATGTTTTCCTTCCAACTTGAAGTTCTCCCTTTTAGCATGTCCAGTAAGGCAGGTCTATAAATGCACTCAGCTTTAGTCTGGGAAATTCTTTATCGTCTCTGCCCTTCTGAAATGTGGTTCTGCTAGTATAGTATTCATGGTTGGCAGGATTTTTTCCTTTCTCTATTTTCAATGTATGGTCTTACTTTCTTTTATCTGTGAAACTTGTGCTGAGAAATCCACTGATAGGGTTGGGGAAAGTCTCTTGGATGAAACAAGTTACTTTTCTCTTGCTCCTTTTAAAATATTGCATTTTGTTTGAATTCTGATCATTTCATTATAATATGACTCAGAAAAAAATCTCTTTATGCTTTTGTTTATTTTTTTCGTACAGGGCATTCAACTGGAGGCCTTCACACTGAGCTCTATCACCAGTCATTTGCTTTGTTTTGGCCTGACTTTCTTGCTAAGTACTAAATTGAATGAGCTGGGATTGAACTTGGCCACCTCAGCCTCCCAGGGTGCAGGGATTACATGTGTGTCATCTCATCCGACTCAGTCAAGCTCTCTGTGTTTAAGCAGTAAAAATCAGTAGACTCATTCATGCTCAGGGACCTGGTGATTCATTTATTTTATGCACAAGTTCTAAGTTGTATGTCATCATTTAGCCCTCACATTGCTTCTGTGGTCTTCATGAGACTTCTGTGGTGTGCACTGGGTCTCCTGATAGAGTCCCCTAAGCCCATCAACTTTCTTTGGGATTTTATTCTTTTTTCCTTCTGACTGGTATTTGAAATGACTGATCTTTGACTCACAGATCTTTCTTTGCTTAGAACTATTTTGTAGTTCTTCTGTTCTGTCACTATGTTTTTTAGTTCTACAATTTTTATGGTGTTTATCTCCTTGTTGAACTTCTAAGTTTGCTCCTGTATTAGTTTCCTGGTATCATTTAAAAAATCTATCTGTGTCCTTTCATAGACTACCCAAATCTTCATAGACTATTCTAATTCTTTTGTCAGGTAATCTGTAGTTTTCCATACCTGTAGATCAGTTTCTGATGTTTTGTTTCGTCCTTTAAAACTTCATGTCTCTTGGATTATTAACTGTACTTGACGATTTACACATTTAAAGATGTTGCAATATTTATATCCTGGCTTAGGCAAGAAAACTTTAACATGGTCCTATCTAAAGATCCCTAGTAGACTCATCCCTATAGACCAGCATGCTGCTGGGGTATTAGTCTGTGTCATGGCTGTGTCTAGATCTTCCCCCAGTCTCAGGCAGTAAGAGGTGGGGATTTTTCAGAGGGAGTGGATCTACAGTGTATGATTAATTCATGGTGCAGTGCTGGGATTAAGGGTGTGTGATTACTAAATCAATCCACTGATTGGTTTGGCACTCCCCTAATCCCAGTAGCCTGGACACAAAGAGGCTCACCTTGTCCCTTGCTTGCTTGCTTTTGTTCTCTTCTTTTGGGAGCTGTTGGAGCTAGAAATTGACCAAAGGTGCAAGGCTGGAACGTGACAATTCTAAGAACAAAGAGTGCCCAGGCAAGCCATGTGAAGAAGCTGCTTCAGCCCAGAGAACATCCAGCCCCATGATAATCTGAACAGTGGGTTGCTAGGACAACAGGGTGACATGTGACAGGTCCCAGAAGTAAAGGGAAGGGTTCTTAGTACACCGTATAGCCTGCATCCTTACCTGCAGTTGATAGGGCCAGAAGTATTTACTTGTTCGCTTTCATATTTTAGGCATTTTAATAGGTTTATTGGTACCTTGTTACTGTTTTAGTTTGCACTTTCTCCACGACAAATGATCCTGAGTCTCCTTTCATGTGTTTTTCTGTAATTCATTTTCTCTTTTTTGTGAAGTGTCTATTCAGATTCTTTTTCAAATTTTAATTTGGGTGTTTGTTATTACTGAGATTTAAGGAATCATTTTATATTCTAGATACAAGTTGTGTTACTCAAGCTTCCATTTCTGGAACAAAATACTTGGTACCCACTACTTAAAGAAGGAGGGATTTATTCTTGAATGTGGTTTAGAGGGTTCATTCCATGGTCAGCTGGGGCCCAGGCAGGAACATCGTGGTAAAAGGAGAAATAGAGAAAGGCTGCTCACCTCACGGCAGCCAGGAAACAAAGAGCCAGGGAAGAAGTGAAAGAGGAAAGGACCAAGCACAGTCCCCGGTCACACCCCAGACCCACCCAGACGCACCAGGAAGTGTGTTCTACTGATCTCCTGGGCATTTCTCAAACAAACCAGACTGACAAATAAGATTACCCATATCCTTTATTAAATGTGGTTTTCAAATATTTCTTCCAAATCACACCTTGTCTATGCTCTTAGCAATATTTTGCATGAAGAAGAAATCTTTTTCTGTCTTTCTTTCTTTCTTTCTTTCTTTCTTTCTTTCTTTCCTTCTTCCTTTCTTTTTGGGTACTCGGGATCAGACTCATGACCTTGCACTTGCCAGGCAGGTGCTTGTAACACTGAGCTAAAAGCCTCAGCCCTGAAATGCTGATTTTAATAATCTCTGACATTATTTTTCATTCACAGGCTCTGCTCTTGATACGGTAACTCAAATTACAATGCATATTTCCCTCTAGAATTTTTGCATTTTACATCTATATCTATTATGGTGTTTGAAATAACTTTTGTGAGGGCTGCAATGTGTATGTGAGTGTTTATTATTTTATATATGGTATTCAGATGGTTAAGGCACCATTTGTTGAAATACTACCCTTTTCTGACTGAGTTGTCTTCCTGCCTTTATCTCTTCATGCATATTTGATTGTCGATGTGGAACATATTCTAAAATCTCTTGAAGCAAGGATAACAGATTTAGACCAGTTTTATTATTTAACAAGCAACTTTTTGTCTCAGCAATGGTCCCAACACTGAGCAAGTGTACACCCAGATTGCCTATGTTTTTTATTGTATTGTATTCAGTAACCTTTCCCAGGGACAACTTTTTAAATTGACAGGACAAAGGTAGGTATTTGAATTTTGTGCAAGACCTCTTAAATTCTGCACAAAGCTAATAGTGTGTCATGAACAAAGAAGATTAACTGGAAAATTCCAAGCTGGGCATGGTGGCATATACTTATAATCCCAGCACTCAGGAGGCTGAGGCAAGAGGTTTGAGGCCAGCCTGGGCTCTATAGTGAGTTCAAGGCCAGCCTGAACAGTATAGTGTGACCCTGTTTCAAAAAAAAGAAAAGAAAGAAAGAAAAAAGGAAGAAGAAAGAAAGAAAAAGAAAAAGAAAAACAGAAGCCACCAAACATCACAAGTTTTATAACAGACACACAGGGTATTGGAGCCCTAGAGTGTGTGTGATCTACTATAGGAACTTTTATATTGGCCAGGTTAATCTGGGTCAGTGCTGGCTTTTAGAGCTTTCTTTGGCAGACTTCTCACTGTAACAACTGTGGCACAGGTTTGCCACCACTTAGAGGTGAAAACTTAGACTAGAAAACTAAGTGCTTGGGATAGGGTGGGGTGTTGTTCAGGGAGAGGAAACACTCTGTTTGCTGACAAAGTGGTTCTTTACTGGGCTTCAAAGAGGACAAGAAATTACATGTGTCCATGAAAGAGATGAGGTATGAAATCCATAGGCATTTGAAGTTATTCTAAAGACAATATTAAAATAGTAACAATATCTGCTTGCAGCCTTGGAGACCCTGGGTGCTGCAGAGCACAAAAGATACAAAGCCAGGCAAGAGTGAAAATGGATGTTCAAAGCCCCGGTGGTAGCTTGGTATAGAAGGTAATGCTTGGTATAGAAGGTAATGGCTGAACTTCAAATAGTAGTAGCAGTGTAGATCAGGAGGAGTTGCTGACTACTGCAAACACAGAACGGAAAAACAAATAAGATGATTTGGTTTTCTGTTAAGTATAGAATGCTTCTCAGTAGAATAGCATGTCTGAGTTGGCCAGCAGCGAAGTATGCACCCTGGGGAGACAATTACAGGTGGATGCACCAAGTCTGGTGTTGGTAAAGGGGACAGGCTTCATGCTCAGCTGGCCCTGGATCAGAGGAGAGGAGAGCTGGATTAGAGACATGAGCCTGGCTGGGCTGTAGCTCGGTGTTAGAGCACCTGTCCAGTGAGGTCTTGGTTCCGTCCTTGGTGCCATAAAGCAGTATATATATGTCTGAATGCAGTTACACTATTATCCCAGTGTAACTGCAATTGGCATGGCCAAGTTCATGAAGGCTGAGCGAACGAAGGAAGGAAGCCATAGAGACCTCTCTGTGGATCTGGCGTGGGTGGGGGACAGCCCTCTGGAAATCACCCCAGTTGTCCATGTTACAGCTTCCTGTTCCACTCTGTAATTCGCATTACTCCGGAAGTGGGGAATTTTAGTGAACAGAACCTCTAAGTGGGGCCAACTTATTAATCTTTTCCTTTATGGATAGTAATTTTCATACTCTGTTGAAGTAATCTTTCCCTGTGTCAAAATCAAGTATTTTCTTCAGCATTACTCTCTAGTAAAAATATAGTTTCTGTAATCTCATTTAGATAAAATCAGCCTGAATCTTCCTTCATGCAGTATACATAAGGGATTATGTTTTCTTTTGTTTTCATATAGACATCCTATTGTCCATCATTTATTAAAAAAAAAAGTCTTCCGATGCATTATGTACTGCAAATCTCATTTTGTCATATTTAAAGGTTTATATACAGATGAGAGATTTCTAGAGTACATTTTAATATTAGTCCATTTATCTAATGTCATGGTAACACTGTAATGTCTCAATAATCCTTTATACTAAATATTGACAGCCAGGAAACCAAGTCTTCGTAGCTTCTACAGACAGAATGTTTGTAAGGTTTGTGTTCTCAAATTCACATGAACATAGAAATCTCTTCGTTGGTTGCTTATAAACTCTGAAACTTTATGTTTGAATTTTGTATTTAGATAATATTTTAGTCAAGTTTTGCAAGGGAAACAATTTAATATGGAAACATAATTTATAGGACTATTTTATAATAGTCACCCCAAGAGAACAAACACAAAAGAGTACATGAAATCTGTCCACACACTGAAGACCCAAAAAATTTAGCTGAGGGCTTGGATCCCACAGCAATGTCCTGCATGAGTGCAGCTGAAGACCAAGAGCCCATGACAATACACACAGCAAGTCCAATTGGAGGTCTAGAGCCCATGACAATCCCTATGCAAGTCTGCTTCACAGATCTGTACTGGAAGGCCAAAGGCCAGTGGAGGAAGCTGGAAAGTCTGTGCCAGCAGAATGAAGGATCTGTCCCAAAGGGTTTAGTGATCTGCACTGGAGCCAGGAAGCAATGCTCAAACTAAGGACGAGGGCTCCCCTGAAAAGTACCACAGCCATCCTCAGTGACAACGAGGTCCCAAGCCCCAACAATGATGAGAACAGCCAAGTTCGTATCAGGAAGCCAGCAGGACAAGCTCCTTCAGGAGAAACAACAGCATCATCTTCCTCTACAAATCCAAGAAGCAATGCTCAAAGCAAAGAGCAGAGCTCCCTCAGGTGGACCACAGCTGTGAGATCCTGAGCTCCTGTGACAACAAGAACAGCCAAGTTCATATCAGGGGAGCCATCATGACAAGCTCCTCCAGGAGAACCAACAGCTCCACTCTTTCTCTCCAGTTCTCCTTTTAGTGTTGCTGGCAGTAACCCTCAGGTGGGCCTTCCATACCCAGCACCATGCTAATTCAGTTCAGCTGGGTGTCACACGCTGACCATCAGTTGTCAGTTCACCACAGTCCACCCCTAGTCAACATGGTAACCAGACACACTTCCTTAAGCCATTGTCTCCAGTGGCAGATTTGCGAAAAGTTATCATGTCTTGTTCTATTGGATGTACACTAACATAACAACTGAATATATACAATGCTTATTGCACTCATTTCTGCACCAAAAGCAAGATATTCAGAGTGATCAAAATTGAAGGTTAAAATGCAATATTTTGACTAATTAACCTGGTTACAAACATGTCTAAAAATGACAATAAAGTCATATTTAAGAGAGTTAATCACAATCCTTGCTTCCTGTTCAGTTTTAAACACCATGGCAGGGCAAGACTAAAAAACAGGGATTTCCTGCAATTCAAATCCACTCCTCCATTCCGGTGAAATATATCAGTTCATTTTTTCATTGTCCTGTTGTTCTCAAGTACCACATTCTCCTCTGTTTCATCCTTGCAGTCCATAGCTCCACTGGAGCCTTGCTTCTGGCCAAATGTTTCAAGTCACTCTACTGGCTCCTTGTTCTTAATTTCCAACATAGATCTGGCCAAAAGCTCTCAGCAGTATGCCTACCAAGATCCCAACATAGACTGCACTGAATTTTTTCTGCCATTCAGGCAATATCTCTAAACACAAGCAAAATGCAGATGAAAATACACCACCTGGGATCCGGAAGCCTGTTCAGTTCTTCTTAGTCGAAGCCTCCTGAGCCTCATCCTAGCCGGCATTGTTCCCATCAGTGCTCTGATTTCCCAGGCTTGGACCAGAGCGTCCCCCGCAGTTTACGGTGCACAGGGGCTGCCTCCTTCGCCAGTCTCTCAAAACCCTGCCAAATCAGCCCCAAAGCTCCTAAGCCACACGGCCAGGCAACATCACAGCAATGACTCCACTTGCTGGTATCAATTTCTGTATCAGTCAGGGTCTACTAGAAGCAGGTATAATACAAGACAGACAAATGTATGAGAAATTAACAGTCTATAGCTTATGAAAGTCACTCACAGAGTCGAACAAGGAAGCATATAGATGATGTCTGCACCTGGAGACAGAAGGTTTCAGTGGAAAGTCTGGAGCTCCCAGCAACTTCCTGTGCAAGTCTGTATGAGGGACCAATGAGTCTGTGACAGAGAGCTTGAGAATTCAAGGTGGAAGCCGGAGCAGCTGTGTGGAAGCCCAGAGATGCTGTCTAAGCTGCAGGCAAAGACTGGAGCTCCTCCAAAAAACAGAAGCCGCAATTCCCCATCGCATCATCCAGGTGAGGAGCTTCCCTGGAGTGGGTCCTCTACACCCCAGGGTGTAAAATTGCTGAGCAGATTTAGCTAAGCTTCTAAATTTCTCCAAGGTGACACAATCAGTCAGCCACTTCAGAATCTAAGTAATTTATTTTTCTTGCTCATTAACATTAGCAAGTCACCTGTAGAGCAGTGTTGAATGTTGTGGAAGTCAGAGGTATACACCAACATTTTGCAGGTGAATATATCCCAAATTACCATCTTTTGTGCTGGGGAAGCGTCATGGATGGAGATGCCTGGACATACAGAGAGGGGACTCCATGCTGTACAGACAGCCAGTGCACGTCCAGAACAGACCAAGCATGTGACACAGGGACGGAAAGCATCTAGGTGAAAGATGGCAAGAGAATGTGTGTCACTTACTGCCCTCCTTCACCCTGGGAAGGCCCACACACACACACACACACACACACACACATACACCATCCATTCTCAATGTACGGTAGAAATGAACGCTACTCTCACAGCCAGTAACCAAGCCTTCCAAGTGTAAGACATGTCCCTGGGACTTCAGAGGCCCCTTTATCCTTTCCTGTTCTCTGTAAATTACAGTGCAGTTTCTAGCTTGGTTTCTCATATCCATGTCTCCTTACATCTGAAGCGTTTTCCTCCTTCTCTGCAATTACCAGACTGATACCTCAGCCCAGCCAACTTCGGCTCCTCCCACAGAGCCCAGGTCTTTGCAGAGAGACTGTGAGCTGACTGATGCTCTCTGAACTTAGGACTGTATGACTTGAAGTCAAAATTTTCTTTCACCCACACTCAATCTCACAACTGAATCCTGACCATTTAAAGGAGTGTCACTATAGCTTTCACCTTCACCTTACAAGTGACCCTGTCATGCTCTTTAACTTGACCCTGGATCTACAGGTGCCCCTTCCTCCTTACCCACGGAGGGCATTTCCTTAATCATGCAAAGATGCTGCATTTGAAAGCAAAAGCACGTGCCACTAACTTATGATGAGACCATTGACACGAACAATAGTGGAATCATCATATTCCTAACCAGCTTGGTATTCCCATGATCCTCCCGTCAATCTTGGGATTCTAGGACCTCAAGCTGTCCAGCAGGCTCTTTTCAGGCTGGGATACCTTTTCTAAGTCATTGATCCTTTCCCACTATGGCCAGATGAACTTCTGTTACTGTACTGCCCTACAACATCACCGAGGAGCCTTTTAATGATGCACTTGGCTTAGCACACCTGGGGTTGGGTTAAGGCCTTCATGCATGCTGCAGTCAGGCAGCAACTCTTCTAAAGACGGCTCTGTTAAAACATGGCCAAGTCAAATCACAACTCTAAGACTGTTGCCTGGGCTCCCTCCACTCGTGTAGACCTCATTAATACAGTCTCGAGACCCTAGGACAGTTTTTATTGTCTTCTTGCTTTCAACTAACTCTAGGTTTTCTCTCAAGTATCAGTTCTTACTTCTTCCCTCAGTGTTATAACACTATTCCAAGGAGCCTTGGAATATTACAGGACATAGTTCCTAAAAAGATCGCTCTAAGGTCTAATCAGCTTCTCTTCTCATTGCCATCTCAACTTCATAAAACGTGTTCCTGAATGAGATTCAGCAATGAGTGGTGTTGGTGCCTGCAGAGCACTTACTGTGTACCTGGTACTGTGCTAGGCCACGTGCTTCTGTTGCTCTGCTCTACCTGCACCAAGTACAAAACCTGGTTACAGAAAAGCTGGCTGAGGTCTGGTGAGCTGGCATCATTTGCTTAAGGACTTGCAGATGAAGCCCTAGTTACTTCTGTCATTTCTGAGACAAAACACACCACACCCAAAGCTAAAAGAGGAAAAGGTTAGTTTGGCTCACAGTTTGTAGAGGTTTAGGTCCATAACTGCCTGGGGAGGCAGCGTGGCATGGCAGAGGAGAAATGGTTCATGGATGGAAGAAGGCAGCAAAGCACCAGCAGCAGCCCTGCTCCTCTTCCCTAGATTCTGTCCAGGCTTCACACCGAGGGCAGGCTGCACTCACACCCGAAGGGGGGCCCCCCATTACCCACATCCACAACTATGCCAAATCAGTCAGTGGGCTAACTAAATATTCACATCCACTTGATCCCAGCATCGCAGCCTAGATCCAGCCACCACTAAAAACCCCCACTTGTGACTGCATGAGGCTCAGGATGTGCGGCCTCCAGACACAAGCCACACAGACAGTAAATGCCGAGAAGAAATTTGAGCCCAGGTCTACAGTACTCGGAACCATCCCTAAAGGGAAAACATACATACCAAAAAATATAAGGCTAGTTCAATATTTATAAAATATTTTGTTTCTTAAAGGAATTTTCCAAAATCATTATTAAAAGTTATGATTTACTTTCATTCAAATTGTAAATATAGGCATAGAAGCATGAAAAAGCTTGGAAATTACAGACTCTACCAAAATTGCTGCTTTTCTTGTAATTTTGCTTTCTTTCCCCAAATAATTATCTGTTGCATAAAAATAGATGTAGACAGTAGTTATTCATGTCTAATCAAACCCACAGGATTTTTAATGAAAAAAGCATAGTTAATAAATATCACGAACCCTGAACTTTAACTGCAGGATAATTTGGAAACAGAAACATCCCCCACACAGTAGATTCAGCCACAGAAGCTACAGTAGCTTGCTCGGTGGCAGCTGGCTGAGGATTATTTCAGGAGATGTTAACTTCTCACTAATGAAGAAATTAACAGATTCAACGTGTGTTTGATCATGAGTCCATTTCAGTTTCATAAAAGAAAAAAGTAAGTGAATGTAAGGGCCAGTGAGTTCTGTGGAGGGTGTCTAAGTTGACTGTGATATTAACATTAACAAAAAATGTGAGCTTCCCTGAGCTTTTTCCTGAGGTTGCCTCTAAGCCAGACATTACCGTTTTAAAATGACATAAAGGGACCTCATGAATAATTTGAGTTCTAACTTCATGAACTTCAATTACAAAGTTGCATAGAGTTCCACAGGATAAAATCCAGACCTGCCTAATTTACATTTCAGTCGTGGATAAGAAAAAGATAAAGAAACAAATGTCATCTGGAATATGGCCAAGAACACAGTCACAGCGGACCAGTGGTGACCATCAGGACCACGTGGCTGTTTCAGTGTTGGGCCCTTTCTGGAGCCCACTGCTTATTCCCTCTGTAGAAACGTTTTTGAAACTCAGGCCATGGTGACAAGAAGTGATGCTGTGATCTGAAGACTATCTCAGCTTCCAGGATTTCAAGTGACTTGCTTACCAGTATCCAGGGAAGAATTTTAGTGCAAGCTACCAAAGTCATGAGCAGTCTTGGCACGCTCACCTTAAAATCCTTGATCCCATGCCCTCCGTGGGAAGCATTTCGCAGCTTAGGGTCTTGAAGAAATGAAGTTTTTCTCACGTGACGTAAGTAAGCAGCGATGCCATTACGCGTTACGTGAGCAGTTTGTGCGGTCGTGCTAAGCTCCATCATGGTTCTGAAACACGTTCACCAGGGAAGACCGAGTGTTCACACCGCTTTTCTGCCATTGACATGCGTGTTTGATTTTAGCACATGTGACATGTGGAGGACGCACAGATGCAGTCAGCACTAGCTTATATAATGCATTGGAAAACAAAATTTAAAATCTCATTTTCATCAAAGTAAGTTAGTGGCTTTCTCCTACATTTATTATTTTCCTCAGTTAAAATAAAATTTCTCTGTGGAACTGTTTATGTTCTTTCAACACTTACAGTTTATATTTTCTTTTCAGCCCAAGTGGAAAATAAATCCAGGCATAAGACGGTAACTGAAAATTTTTCTCAACTCTGAAATATTCTTTCTTATACAGTTTTGTTATCTTCAAAAATGTTTTCCAGAAGTCCAGGGAGGAGGCTCAGAGAACCACGATGCCCACAAGAGAGGTGGAGGTAAGTCTTTCTGAATCCCCAAGGATTATCTTATAGTTTCATAGGCAGACATTTTAAACATCTTAAAGGACATTTGTGAGGAAAATATGTGTTTTTGTGTCTTTCAGTTATTCCTGCACTTTTTAAACAGCTAGCATTGGGCCTAGGGAAACACCTGAAAGTGTGGTAGAAAACCAACCTGTTGCTGGCTGGTGGGAGTGGAATATGGTGATTACGCTCAAGAAGCCCCAGAAAAGGCATCAGTGCGCAGCCTCTCAGTTCAAAGACCTCCTCTCCAGGTGAGACCGTGGGGGATCAACAGCTCTGAGGCTTCCACGAAAGCTTGTAGATATCACTAAGAAACAGCGACAGTGAAAGACAAAGTTCAGCAAACCTGCACATGCAGAAAATGGGTCGACGTGCACGGAGTGGGAAGCAAAGGCAACGGAGAGGCTGAAGTGTGTCTGAGGAGGGGCATAATCAGACAACCGTTCCACACACTTCAGGGGACAAGGGCCACGGTGATACCAAAGCATCATGTCTATAGAAAGAAAAGCTATAGCCAAGACCTAATTCAGAAGCCAGAAAACTGTCAAAAAATAAGATGGTAGGATTTTGTTTGGGGGTATTTTGCAAGAAGAACTTTGCAGTCCTTTCTATAAGCTCGGGCTTCAGCAGTCATGGTGGGGAAGGAAGACGAGCAGGAAATGTTTCCCTTGCACATACATTCCCTAGATACAGAGGAGTCATCTTGTCTGGCAACCGACTCCCTGCCTGGTGGGAACAAGGGACTTTTAAATGAACTGAACTTCACCTCAGACATCAGCCCTTGATTCATTGGGTACATGGAATTTTTAATTAAAATTTTCTTTCATTTCAAGCTATTAACAAAGAGGTATCTTATAGTTAATAAGGACAAGTGTTCTATAGCAGGTAAGGCAAATTTGTTTATCAGCACCATTGTATACAAGATGCAACAGTTACGAAAATATCTTGATTCCACATTGACAAAACTACCTCTCAGGCAATGTTCACAGAAACAAAATGGTTTCCAACCTTTTTCCTTCTTTTACTCTTTCCTTCTTAACGTTCAAGCTCATGGCTTTCTGCTTAAAATACTTCTTTTACACTTTACATTTATTTCTGTCACACTTCTGCAACCGCAGCAGTCGGCCCCCACTTCAGATTAACTCCAGCTCCCCTTGCTCACCCTGGACACCCTTTTCCTCAGGCTGAAGACTCTCCGCCCATAACCTTGAAGAGATCGCCTTTCTCCACACGCTTGTGCCCTGCATCCTGTTGGGCGAAGGATTTCACGCTGACTCAGCCTCTGTCTGTCTGGCGTCTGCCATGTCTGGGGCCGTCTCCCACACAACGTTAAGTGTGTGTTAACTTGAGCCTTGTGCTGTGGATTGGATACGGTCTCCAGGAGGAAATCTTTGAATGTGAAAAGACTTCCTTCCTGGGAATGGGAAACTTCAAAATCCTTATAGCTGAAAATATAAAGGATACGGAGTCCGGGTGCCCTAAACACAAGCAGACAGTAAAATACACTCCATCCTGTCTCCAAGTCTCCAGCCTGCCGCAGCTCACAGTGGAAAATAAATACATCTTCAGAAAATAAATTCCATTGTCATGGAATTAGCATGTCTGAGGCTGTTTACCGAGTAAGCACTGCTGCATTCAGCAGTAGGAGAGAACGGGCTTAAGAATCCAACAGCCCTGTTAAGGGTGATTTTTTCTGGCCAGCAAAGGCATTAGCCAGCTGCAAATTCATTTTCTGCAAAGTGAAAATACACATACGGCATTGGGTTCCTGACAGCATTGTTAGGACTTCCTCATATTCCCAACATGCTAAAGGTTCAACGTACAGTTACAAGGAAACCCTGATAGGAATTTTAAAAGTACACTTGATGGACAGTGTTTCAGTCCTGCTTAAAGGATACCGGAATCTGTTAACGATCACCTTCCCGAGGACAGATGGTTTCTAACGTGATGCATGCTGCTGTTTACATTCTTAATAAAAACCGAGCAGTTCTCTAGCTTCACCAGGACAGAAGGCCAGATGAATTCCAAACGCTACAACTCACTGCGTTTCTCTGTGCCTAACCCCGTCTTCCCTCTCCACACAGTCCCGGAGAACATTATGTAATTATTGTCATGCCCACAGAAGTCGGTCGTGGGTGAAGATCTCCGTGACGCTGGCGACCCCTCCCTGCTGCAGACGCTGGCCCGGGAGTCAGCGGCTGGGCGGGGGAAACTCTGAGCAGGGCGGTGGGTTTCCCCTGGCGAGCGCTCCCCACCCGCGGTCGGGCGCTTTCTGTCCCTCCCGCCTCTCGGAGCTGCCCGCGGCCGCTGAACCGCGCGCTCCCCGGCTCCGAGGCGGCTCCGCGGGGATAAGCGCAGGATCGAGCCTCCTGCCGCGCAGCTTCTAACTGGTAGAGCCACAGCTCCATCCAGTGGCCGCTTTCCTCGCACCAGCCCCTTGTTGCTCTCCTCTCCAGCAGTGCCTCGACCTCCCCTGCAGTCTGCAATCCCTCCTCCGGCCCAGCCGCGCCACCACCGGCGCGACTGCGCTCCGCCGTGCACCTTGGCCAGGCTCCGGGGCTCCACGCGGCGGAAACCAGGCCGAAGCCGCCGGCGCGCAGGGGGTTAAGCAGCTGCGCGAGTCCGCGCCCTGCCCACTCCGCTCCCCACTCGCGGCCGGCGCGGGCAGCCGGAGCCGACGGGGACGAGCGGCAGCCGGAGCTGCGCAGCCCGCGGTGGAGACGCCTCGGCCGGCGAGCCAGGTCCGCACCGATCTGGCCGGGCACAGGATGCAGGCGGGGTCGCGCCCGGGGTTGTGACGCGCACCCGCACCGCCCGCAGCGCTCGCGGGGCTCCGGGAGCGGCGACACATGAGCCCCCTCCTCCCTCGGGAACGATGGGGGTCCTCCTGGCGTCGCTCGCATTTGTTTATTTTTCGGCTGTGTGTGTGCAGCAAGGGCTCTCCTCTCAAGGTAAGTGTGCACGGCGGGGCACCCTGGCTCGTGAGTGTGCGTGTGCGCGCGTGTTCTTCGGACTAAGAGAACGCATAGACCGATGAGCCAGGGTCCAGCGAGTGACCGCGGGTCTGGGTCGCATGAATAATGTTCCGTTTGGCATCTTTTCCTTTAAAGTTTATTAAATTTCAAGCAAGGGAGGCTTCAGGGGAAATCGAGTTGGTGCCTGGTCATGAGCTGAGTCCCCCAGAGCGCAAGCACAGGGGTGTGTGCACGCGTGTGTATGCGTGTGCAGGGTGGCCACTCGTGCGTGCACAATCGTCACCGCCAGGACCAGTGTAGGGCTCAACCCGACCTCCGACCCGCGGGCCGGCCACTCGCCGTGTGTACCCACGCGCGACTCCGCGGGACGGCGGCGCACGTGCGTCCCGAGCCATCGCCGGACGCAGCGCCGGGGACTTCGGGCCGCAGGGTCGCTCGAGCGCCGGAAGAGCTCCGCCCGGGCCCACAGCGCGCCGCAGGGGAATCTGCGGGAGCCTCAGCCAGCAGGACGAGCATGGTCCCTCTCCTGGAGGTCGCCGGCACCCGGGCGACAGCGGGGGCGCTCTGGAAAGCAGCGGCGCGAGCCCAGGGTCGCCCCTGCAGGCCGGGCCCGGTCCTGGCGGCGCGGCTCTCAGGCCCTGAGCGACCCCCCGCCTCGCAGAGCCGAGTGCTGGGGGTGCAGGAGCCCGGCGGAGGGAAGAGGAACCGCGGCGCCCCCGACCTCGCGCGTCTGCAGCTTCGGGAAGTGTCTGTCCTTACTCCCGAGCAGTCTCTCGCCGGCCGAGCTCGGTGTCCGGCAGCCGGGGCCCGCGGTTCGCGGGGAGCAAGCCCGAGCGGCGTGAAGGTTCATCCAGACAGCGAGGCGCGCGCGCAGCCCCGAGCGTGCGGCTGCTCCACCGCCGCGGGCTGCGAGCCCCGCGCGCCCTCTGTCCGAGCGGACGGTGCGCAGGGTCCTGGCCGGGAGGTGGGGGGCCACGGGCGGCGTCCCGCACGAGGCTCGAGAAGTTCCATGGATGATGCCGGGAGGCGGAGGGTGTGCAGCCCGCGCGAGCAGGGTGGTATTGGCGAGCTCGCTAACCGCTCCATTGTTTGGAGCTGGGCAGCGACAGAGCGGTGCAGGCTCGGTGCCAGCAGGCAAAGGCCGGACGGGGCGGGCAGCAGAGCGGCCGTGCGCGGGCATCGAGGCTGGGGTGCAGCAGCCGAGATCTGGGGCCACGGAGACGGCAAAGGGACGCTTCTGTTTTGCAGCCAAATTCACTGAGTTCCCGCGGAACGTGACGGCCACCGAGGGGCAGAACGTGGAGATGTCCTGCGCCTTTCAGAGCGGCTCGGCCTCGGTCTACCTGGAGATTCAGTGGTGGTTCCTGCGGGGTCCCGGGGACGCGGCGCCTGAGGGCGGCCCGCAGGTGGGGCCCCGGCCCTTGTCCCTCCTTGCTAAATCCCTCCTGTCCTCCCGTCAGGGTCTGGATCTCCAGGGCCCAACCGCAGCCCAGACTTAGGGTGCTGCCAGAGGCCCTGAGGCGCTTCGGGGATGAAGACGCCAGGGATGCAGGGGTCACCAGGTGTTACACTGGGGAGTCCACCCCTAACATCCACAGAGCAGCAGCCCCAGTCCTGTTCCCAGCCAGAGCCCGCTATAGGGGCCTCGCGAGGCCTCCGTCCTCTTGGAGGGGCACCCCAACCCCAGGCTTGCGCTGGGCCAGCTGCGGGGTGGGTGGGGGTGGAAGAGGAAGAGGGAGGAGGGAAGTCCTGAGGCTTCTGGCTGGAACCAGGGGTTCGGTCCCTGAGCCATCAGATCGGACAAGACTGGCCTTGGGGAGAAAAGGCCTGGCCCAAGAGATGGGGAGGCCAGGGGCCCTGGGGGGCGGAGGTGCCTGCCTGGAAGCCGCCCGTCCCGCCTCAGTCCCGAGCTGTTCCTGTTTTCATCCCGCAGGCGGAGCTCCTGCCCGACCGCGATCCGGACCTGGACGGAACCAAGATCAGTGTGAGTGTGCAGAGCGGGCAGGGCGGGTCGGGCGCGCCGGGGCCCCGGGGCACCATCGCTGGAACCCCGTTAGGTGCGGAAGCAGCACTGCAATCCGACCCTAGAGGCCTCCTCCAGTGGCTTAATCGCGCCAGTGTTTCTGGCTCTCTGGCTCTCGCTGCAGAGCCGCTTCCCACCGACCTGAGGCGACTGTGTTCTTCTTGCGACAGTCACTTAGGGTGTAGGGGACGGTGGAAGGGATCGCCTCCAACAAACCCTGAGAGAAAGAGGCAGGCGGAGAGACAGACAGGGAGATAGGGAGGGCCACAGGCAGGGAGACAGACAGGGAGACAGACAAGGGAGTCTCCTCAGGGAGCAGGACATGGAGCCCCCGGAAGCCTGGGCCAGTGCTGACCCACCCACAGTGCTTCGCCTGCCCTGATGGTTCAGCTCACAACCCGAAACCACGTGTGTCCAGATGTTATGGAGGAGAGTGACCCATTGGAAGTACAAAAATACAGTTCTGCTCTACGGTTATTACTTTTAATGACTGTGTGTAAAATCAGAAAACGTAAATGGAAATCTTACTCTCTACCACACCTCAAATTAAGCCATGAGAATTAACTTTGTGTTACTCATGCAAGCTTAACTGGATCAGTAGCAAACCTTTGCTACCAGAAATGAACTAGTCATATGATACAAAAGAAAAAAGTCTGATGCCATGAATATATTATTTTTTAGGAATCTAAAAGCCCAATAATTGGCATTTAAAAAGGACAATTATATTGACACTCTTACAATAACATAGAGTGATGTAAGATCTGGGCTACATTGCAGTTAATAGTGTAAAAATATATTGTGCAAAGTATCAAAATCTGAACTATATATATTCTCAGCATGTAAGAAAACTCAACAACCAAATAGAAAACAAATTTAAATTATAACTCATGAAACCACTGCTACTTTAGAATATTTTATTCCTGTTTTTCTAAAGCACAATGTTAATAAAGTTTTATTAGCAAAAGCATGTCACTCTTCACAGACACATGCAAAGAAGAGAGTATTGGCTGACTATTGATCGTTTATTGACCTTCATCAATGCCGGTATCTTCCAAAGACAAGAAATAGCCCATGATGCAACCAGAGACACAGCAACTGCTAATAGCAGCAGCTATGCTGATAGTTCATAAGATCCAGAGAATCAGAAAAGTCCAGACACAAAGTGTTCATTCCTAGTGTATCCACAGTATGACCTTGAACGTCTGTCCTAAATGAACAACTATTAGAATTTCCAAGAAAGGTTTTAATTAAAAATCAGTAAATCAATAAAGCTCCATCCCTAGAGATGCAGGTTTACTGCATTTGCATTAAGCAAGGAAAATATTTCACAACTGCTCCCCACGTGACTCCAATGTAGTGTTGAGAATTATGGCTCAAAATAAGCCTCTGTTAGCTGTCCTGTAAAATGGGACCATAATGATAGCCATACCTGATTACTTCAAAGTTCATTAACATATTTGACCCAAAATATATGTAAGATGAACATCTGGCTTTTGTAGTATCAGTATAGTCATATGTCATTTTGCATGGAGACATTTTTAGGTATGATCTAAATATTAGAAATCATTTGTCATGTATTTACATACATCTTTATGTGTAAAAAAATTAATACTGCTTGGATTTTATTATGATTAATGGCCATCAAAATAATGACCTCCCCCTTTATTTCTTTCAAAATCAACCAAATCCTTAAATCCAAAATATTTTAAGCAATCTGTCATTCTGTCAAGCATAGATGACATGCTGTATGTCATATCTAATTACTCTTAGCTTGATTCTCATATATAATTATAATTTTATCATTTGTCTTAGTTAATTTTCTCTCATTGCTGAAACAAAATACCCAACACCAAAAACTAAGGAAGGAAAGGTTTATTTAGCTCACAGTTTGTGGAAGTTTCAGTCCCTAGTCAGCTGGTTCTGAGGCAGAGTGGCGTGGCACAGGGGCAACAGCTCATGGTGACAGAAGACAGCAAAAGCAACAGAAAGTGGGGAGCAAAAGTGGGGAGCAAGCCTCTTCCCCCCCCCTTATAGTGTACGCAGGCTATCCACCCTAGGGTGGGTCCTTTGCTCCCATAGCATCACCGCCTCTTACATGGGCTCAGGATGTTTAGGACCCTAGTTTCCAGCTGGGTCACTTAGTTAAACTTCTCAAGTTGACGCAGTATATCAAACATTACACTAATATGCGTATCAGATATTTGATCTTGCTACTAATATGGGGTAAAAATCATGAGAAGATATTAATTTCAGTTTTAAAAATCAAGTCAGTGCTTACTCACAAGCTTCTGTAGTGGCATGGGACATCTACCAGGCCTTGAAACTTTAGGTGACATTCACATGTCCAGCCCCAGCATCCCGAGACTACAACAAGGCCTTAGTGTTAGCATTGTTTTGTGAAGACACATAGCCATACCCACGTCCACTGTGACTGTGCCTTTAGTCATGATCCCAATTTGGGACACACGTGTGTCCTTGTTTAATTTGTTATGAACAACAAAACATTTTTGCGCGTGCCCACATTTAAGGGTTCCCTTAAATGGTAGCCTGCAGTGAGCAGAAGTCTTTATAAACTGTAGAGTTGGTCACCGGTTTAGGGCTCAACCACCTGAGCTCACTGCCCAGTCTCTGCGGGGAAAGGACTCCGCTCTCTGGTGGGTGGTGGGAACCATGCAGTCACTCTGCTGGCTGCATTGAGTCAGTCAAAAGTCTCTGTGCATGTAGATGCTAGGGCACAAGACTGACTAGCCCTGCAGACCTAACCTGCAGAAGTGAGGACCCCTTGCCTGCAAGAGGAGCCCACCCAGCGCTTAACTTCCCAGCACCACTGAACGCAGGACATAACAGGAGCAGAGGCATCTGATGGAGCACTCTCTCTTCCCCTGCAATTTTCCAGACAGTGAAAGTCCAGGGCAATGACATTTCCCACAAGCTTCAGATCTCCAAAGTGAGGAAAAAGGATGAGGGTCTCTACGAGTGCAGGGTGACAGACGCCAATTACGGGGAGCTGCAGGAGCACAAGGCCCAGGCCTACCTGAAGGTCAACGCCAACAGCCACGCCCGGAGGATGCAAGCCTTCGAAGCCTCTCCCATGTGGCTGCAGGACGCCAAACCTCGCAAGAACGTGTCAGCTGCCCTCCCCAACCTGGTCCACAGCTCCACCAACCAGCGAACGCATTCCACCTCCAGCCCGCAGGCCGAGGCCAGGATCCCCAAGCAAAGTCCACAATCAGGTATGGAAATCCGCTGTGAGCTGTGCTGTGCCACCTCCTGAGCTGGGCAGAAGGGACAGCGAGCAGAGTAGACAGGCTGGCCCGGAAGGGGTCACTGGGCGCACTGGGCCAGGGCAAGGTTGGCTGCTCTGAGGATGCGTTCGCCCCTTAGTGCCAGGCAGTGGGTCCTGTCTGGGCCACCTAAGAGCCGGACTCCTGCTTTTCCCTCTGTACTTACTTGCACATTATCCGAACAATAAATCCTGTCCTGCCGGGTACATTATAAATGCATGTTCATTTCTTCTACAGATTTATGTATCAATAATGACCCAAATTAAGAGGCTTTTACTTAATCAGAATGAAAGTAAGAGACACACTGTGTCACCCACGAGGGGAGCAGTCCAGGGCTGAAAGCGGCACTCTCTCCCAGGGCTTCTAATCTTGAAGGGGAGCTTTGGGCGCAATGACGGGAGGAAGCGGGCAGTGAGGTGGCCCCAGGGGTACAGGGCTTGTCCTTGTTCCCAGTCGGCTGTGCAAGTTAAAGGGGTTCTGGGTGGTGCTGATGCTTCAGCCAGCAGAGACTCTCGAGGTTTAACCTTGACCTCAGGAGAAAAGGCCTGGTAACACCAGCAGGCCCCGCAGGGAAGAAGCCAGCACAGAAACTTTACCTGGCGATCGATGAGTGGTCCTCTTTCCAGTGTGTCCCGGGAGGGTCAGTGATGCTGCTGTTGGGAATAGAAATCGTGCTTGATCGCTAATGTTTAAGGCCTCTTCATCTGTGACCAGATTTCACTTTTGTGAGTTTACATACACATGCATATCTCAGAAACTGTGGATAGGGATAAAAATCTAGATGATACAGATATGGATATAGCCTGGCATACCTGTAATCCTTACACGGTTGGAGGCCAAGGTGTAAGATCAGGAGTTCCAGCCCAGTTTGAAGAGCTTAATGACTTAGACCCTAGAAAGGATTTGGATGTAGCCCAGAGTAAAGGCCCTGGATTCCTCCCCCTGTGCTGAAATATATACATGTTTGCATAGGTAGGTGGAAATCTTGCTTGTGAATAGTATTTTTAGTAAAACGTTGCATGCCAGGACTGGAGGGGTAGCTCAGGGGTGCAGCCCTTGCCTAACTTTTACAAGGCCCTGGGTTTCATCCTGAGAATCACAGACAAACTTAAATTCATAGAAACATAGAGAAGAACAACATGGCACAGATGTCCTCAAGCGCTGGCCGTGCCGAGGAACTGGGGTGCAGATCTCAGGCTCTAGGTTGGGCGTTCCCTGGACCAGTCCTGGTTCCCGCTGTCTGTGGGCAGAAAGCAGCACCTGCTGTGTCCCTGTCCGATGACCTCTGGGACCAGCACAGCCCAGCCCTCGACGCTGCTCCTCAGTGCTCTCTGGACTCTCGATGAGAGGACAAAACCACCCGAGTCACTATCGACTCTCGCTGTCCTGTGTGCAGGGCACGCACCCCTATTTATGTCTGGGGGCCTCGCCCCTCTGCCATCATGTCTCAGAGGGAACAGCCAGACAGACCCAGAACACAGGATCTATGGCCTAATTAGCGAGGGCTCCGTGCCTCGGAAGGGTGGTTAGCCAGACAGAGGCCCCCAAGCCGCTGTATCAAAATCCGTCTGCAGACAGAAACCAGGCAGGTTACCTGGTCCTCACAGGAGGCTCTCTGCGTCAGATGAAGTATGCCGTCCACTAAAAGGGTTCGTTTGTGGGATTAAGTGACGCACTCTCAAAGTGTCTGCATTATTTCAGTATCTCTTTCTCAGCGCTGTGCTGGGAGTTAATTAAGAAACTCCAGATACTGTCAAACAATTTTCACATAGAGATTAGTGTATTTTTAGTTTTACTACCAGCTTTACCTACTATTAGGTACAGAAATCTTTTTCTAGAGTTCAACATACAAGAAGAAAAAAAATATTTTCACCTTGTATTTATTAAAAGTCCTTTTCTCTAAGATTTCTCTTCTTGAGGCAAAAGTTAATCTCACCTTTCTCAAGACATTTGAGCATATGTATATATGCATATATCTATATTTCAACATCCTGTATCACCTCAGAAGCTGGGCATCATCTTGGGTGTCTGTTTCATGCTTGGTCATACCAATGGGGCCCTCTCAAGGGTACTTACTAATCCTGCTGTAATACTCAGATCCAGCTTCATAATTCTTACAGTTGCTCATATTATGTTCAAATAAAGCTCATTCCCATGCACATACTTCATTTATGTATCCATTTTTTCATCTCCATTCCTTCAGGGAACTCCGAGATCAGGTCCAGGGATATGTGAGGTGTGTCCTTTGTTCCATCACTGTAGGGAAGCACAATGGAGGTAAATTCCTCCTACAACACATTGTTTTTATCCTGGGAAAAGCGTATCATGGTGGAGGCACAAAGATTAAAATCCTTAGCAAGCAAACGCTGGCCCCCAAGTCTCTTGTGTTTCGTGATTCGGCAGGAGCAGGCAGGCTTCCTGCGTGGGACACTGACACCAGCCTGGGCCACAAAACTCCTGGCTCACACGGCCTTCCCTGTCCGTCCCTCTTTTTACATCACTCACTAAATTATTTAAACTAAGACACTTTGCTCCTCATTCATACTGGTTTTCTGTCAGGTCAGGCCTGAGTTTCTGAAAATAACTTTACATAATATCTCCAAATTGTCTATAATGAACTGAACCAGACATTGACAGGGCAGGAAGACAGGAAGGATAACCCGTGCCTATCTGTGTATCACAAGATGGGGTGGTAACTATTGTTTGCCACCCGAGTGCTGTGTTTCCCCCAGTTATTTTTTTCCAAAAGTGTGACTATTCCCTCCTGCTTAACACTGTTTTATTTCTCTTTATAAATTCTACCATGCATGATAGGTAAATTATAAATTCTGAACTTTCTAAGTTATTTTAATTCTGTCTGCATGTCTCATCCACAATTAGAACCAAAATGAGGAAGACGGTAAAGGGAGCAGGTGACCCTTATGTGGCATTTGTGGTGAGGCACCTCTGTTCCTCCCACCACCCCTGGTTTGCTACCCCTGACGAGTGGTGTTCATGCCAAGGCTGTGGTCTTCCGCCTTTTTCTCCCTCATATTTATATAAAGCTTGGGGGGAAATGCCTGTATTTCTGTTATACATGAAAACCTAGGTGTGGGGTTACAATTATAAAAGTATTCTGCAGACCTGTTAGGAGGAAGAATCCTTGGCCCCAGCTTTTGAGTCTGGGCTGCTTTGGAGGAAGTGGCTGGGACACTGGGGACCGCTGGTGGAAGCTGGGGTGGCGAAGGTCTTTCCAGATAGGAGCCTGACATGGCTGCACAAGATATGGGGAGTCTCGGTCCCCCCAGAATGCAGGAGTTCAGTTCCCTCCTCACAGAGCACTCACAGACTTTCTTTAGGTTCCCTCCAGCCTGTGTCCCATACCTGGCACCCCAAACTCCCCTATATCCTCCTGTCACCCAGTGACCCAGTCCTCTTGGGAGCAGGAGCTAACTGTCCCTCGCCAGACCTTGTCCCCAGGTCTTTGTTCTGGTTCTTATTTTCTACAAGAGCAGGGGCACCCTAAAATCAGGCAAATAAGACTGGGAAACAGCTCCTCCCTTCCTGCTCAAGGGGGTGCACCCACTCCAACAGGGGTACTCATGTGCTCCCCTTCCTCCCTCAGTCCCTCTCCTGGGTCAGCTGCTCTGCAGAGGCACCATGTCTCCTAACTCCGAACCCCCACATCTTCTTATAGCTCACCCTGGCCATCTCCAGGCAGCCTTCATCCGGCCCCAGAACAGTCTTTCCTCTTAGCTACTGGGGCTGGTTCCCTAGTCACTGCCTCTTAGCTCTCCCCTTCTGCCTTGGGTGCCCACCCCTGCTCTCCTGTTCTCTCCCTTTCACCTTCTAGATCTTATCCACCCCTTGGTGTGACTACCAACTTTTCCTTAGAAAATTTTCCCATTCCATTTCTACTTCTGACTTCTGTCTAGAGATCTGCACAAGGTTTAATTTTCATCCCCAAACATCTTCACATGTGTGTTGCATAAGCCCAGGAGTGGATTAAAGATGGCGGCACAATCATTGACAACCCACCCATAGAGAGCTGGAGGTTGTGGTCATTGCCCTTGAAGCTCGGGCTGGCCTGTGACCGCCCTGACCCCTAAAGCATGAAGTGATGCTGTTGCCCTTGCAGGCATGGCCCTTAAGGGCACCAGCAGTGTCAGCCAGGACCTCTCATAAGGTCACCTATGGGAAGTCCAACTCCGGATAGGGGGAGGCTCTCATTGGGTGAGGTCCCAACCATGGAGCCCCCATGGGAGCGGGGAGGCCGCCTTGGACAGAGCTCCCCAGGCTTCCTGCCCTCTCACTCAGCTGCCAGCTCTCTGCAGACTCTGCCCAGCTGAACCCTGAGCTCCCAGTACTAGGAGCACTGATAATGACTGTCACTCAAGGCAGCTGGGGGAAGCATGGCTTTTCTTACTGCAGCAGACACACCCATCAGGGGCTGAAAGCTCAGATATTCAGAACAGAAGTCATTCTGGCTTTCTCACCAAAAAGAAATCTTCTTCTCCCCATGTCCCCAAACTCTTAATACTATCATCCTAGTCACAGATCTTGCAAGAACCTTGAAAACATTCTTGTCTTCTCTGTTGGACACCGTGCTGAATTAGTCATTCTGTCCTAGTGATCCTCTTCCCAAAACATCCTTGAAAGACAGACATTTTTCTATTCTGTTACCACTGGTTCCATTCTCAGCATAAGCCCTCTTGAACAGTTTTTTCTCTTCCAACAGCTCCTAATAGTCTCTGTGTTTCGGTCTCCGTACAAGGAACATATCACAAGAGCCCATGTATTCATAATTACTATTTCCAGAGCTAGACTAACCAGCTTCTGCAGCCAGACCTCCAGTCCTGTTCCTTGGGAGTCCCACCCCTCACATTGACTTCCTATTTGCCATTTCCTGAGTGTTTTTCCCACACTTCCTACCCCCTACTCTCTGCAATTGCTATTGCCTCTGTGTAGGT